ATAACAAACTTTCACTATCAAAATCCAAGATGGCTGCCTGTCGGTCATGTTGTTTATCCGATCAGTCTCGAAAAGTTGCCCTACACAGCTAAGGACCAAGGGGAACCTACGCATAAAATTTGAGAAAGATCCCTCTGGTACTTCTTGAGAAATAGCGATAACAAACTTTCACTATCAAAATCCAAGATGGCTGCCTGTCGGCCATGTTGTTTATCCGATCAGTCTCAAAAGTTGCCCTGCACAGCTAAGGACCAAGGGTAACCTACATATAAAATTTGAGAAAGACCCCTTTGGTACTTCTTGAGAAATACCGATAATAAGAATTGTTTAAGGACGGACGACGGACGAGGTGATTTGAATAGCCCACCATCAGATGATGCTGGGCTAAAAATGGATATTGTGCTCAAGACTAATTTCTTGATTTGGTTATGAATTAATAAACAAATTTTATTTTGTCAATGATTTGGATAAAAGTTGATGTAACTTAAAGCCAAGCACTGTTTTCAATGTTACATTGGACGTTTTGATCGTTTGGCCTGATTTAAGTGAGTTACAAAAAAGTTGTGTTTGAGCACAGAATCCATGCTTGAGTATGAAAACGGTTTCATGAATACGGCACCAGTTCTGTCCACCTGGGACACAAGAATAATGTCTTTATGATATGGTGGCTCTCATGATGATGAATAACCAAGGTGACACTGCATATTCTTTTAACTTGAGAAAAACATTTTCAAGTACAATTTGAGATATTATTTTCATCTTTTTTTCTCTCTTCTGTTTCGTTTCCTGCTAATCAGGTGCTGTATTAATTGTTTGTAATCAAAGTCCCTTTTTTACAGTTTGAATTAATATTTTTCCATATTAAAACTACAAACTTGTTAAATCATGATATTGTATAAAGTACAGATTAATCATAATTGTTAGTAAATACAAAAAAAAAGACAAGTTATGTTCTAAAGATATCAACATGCATATAAACGATACTGTTTGGTCATGTAGGACAATTTGTATTGATTTCCATTGGAGCAAATCAATCAATAACAGAACTTAAAAAAACACCCAACAAAATAAATGTTTGGTCCCTTTTAATGAACATTAACATTCATGTTGATGCAGATCTAGGAAAAAACACCTGGGTAATCTCTTTTATATGATTATCAAATTAAAGTGATGTATTTGTTTGCCACATCTGTATTTGATTTAAAACAGCCGTGAATATATACCACAGTGTTGTTGAAAATGGTACATGTATCGGGTATAATTTATTTAATTACCGTACACTCAATAACAAATTACAGTATTTAATTGACGAAAAAATCAAACTCATAGAAATACAATATTTCTAATGTTTCACACATTGCTAGCATTTACAAAATTTGATAGAGGAAAACATTGTTTTTAATTTTAGACAAAGTAATCAAATTATTAACAAAAGGTCATTTTCAGTTAAATTAATAAATCACTCAGCTACATATGAGATACCTATTGCATAAAAATTACATCAGAGATCATGGCAAGTTTATATACTCGACTCCAGGTAATGCTAAACATATCTGAACGTCTTTCTCAAAACTAGCATTTCTGAGGTACCAAATTACTAAAGAGTAATAAATATGTGATCATATACACCTGGAATTAAGACAACTTATTTTTGCTTGCCTTTAAACAATTGTCTTTGATTGTATGATGGTGTGGCATCAATATTGCCAATACATTAAGTTCAGCCTATCACAGTAAAATTATATGGAGAGTTGAAACACAATGGCCGTTCCACTGCACATATGTCCAGTATCACAAGTAATGTATAAGTTTATTGAAACATAAAATCACCATGTTATAAAAACAGGTGCCAAAATAGTTTAAAAACAGATAGGACGGATTGTGTATAAGTAAAGACATAGTTACTAGCATTTAAATATAAAATCCCAGAAAGCTTTCATTGTACTTACGGGAACAACATTGAGACATTATTTAACACTAATAATTTATGCACATTTTATTCCCATATTTAGATATGATTTTTAAAACTTCAGCTGTCAAAATACAATTATGAGTTGTCCTGATTTTTTTTACTACACCATAACAATTATGTTATTTATGACTATGTATGGTAAAAATAATTACAAAGTACCTAAAAAAAACCTTATAACACTGCATAAACGCTTCTGGATAATCTATCCAATATGACTACGTACCTCATTGTGACAGCAAAGGGAATGGAATTAAAATGGCTTTTCACTATCAAAAAATATCATATTTTGCAGATCTTAAATTATCACAGAAACGTTCCTACTTCTACAAAATCAAGAGGTAAAACACTGATAAATCAATCGGTATTTATCTATATAGCATGGTCCAAATTAGACGGCGTCTCGATCTATACACAAAGCATGGCAAGTTTTGCAACAAATGTACAAACACTTGAAAATATTTGGACGGACTTAAATAAAACAATAAATTATCTTAATTACCTAATCATAAAAAAAAAATCTGAATGCATTTGGAAGAAATAACAGATCAATTGCACATTCTAAAACTGATTACTATATTCTAATTTATTTAACTCCAAAAACATTTAAATTGGTCTCATTTAAATTGGTCAACTTGAATAAAAAATAAAAAAAAATAACTGTGAAATTTTGAATTTTATTATATTTACACATTTATGGGATTAAACATTGTAGAGGGTAATAACTCATGATTGTTATTTTTTACTTTTTTACATGTTTGAAATTTAAAACTTTTGCATTACTTATTCAATAAAAAAAAAATCTTTGTATTTTTAACTGTGATTAACTTTTTAAAATAAATATGAACAATATATACTATAAGAAAAAGATCTAGCATAACCTACATTATGCTTGCAATACATCAATTCCTTATATTGCTTATTGTGCTGGTTTAATTTGATTGGATTACTCCCTATATTGCAGTTGTGTGATACATAATAATATATAATAATAAATGATAATAAATTATTTTATTTTATTCAAGTGTCACATATTGATCTACATATGAAAACAAGTAAAGTGTTCATAAAACTAGATCAATATCCAGTCAAAGTTAATCGACTTATGAGACACTTTATAAAAGACAATAATATACATTAAAAACAGTTGTCAGATTTAAATAGACCAATATTTGTCAGCTTATTTTAGCTTATTATACGTTATTACCACACATTCATGTCAAAGTCAATTTGACTTATGATACTCGAAAAGGCAATAATATACATTGGAATAAGTTTCACCAAATTTAAAAAGCCAATATTTGTCAGCTTATTATAGCTATAAAAGCCAATATTTGTCAGCTTATTATAGCTATAAAAGCCAATATTTGTCAGCTTATTATAGCTTAAAATTATAAGTTATTTCAATACATTGATGTCAAAGTTAATTATGACTTATGAGGCTCCAAAATGCAATAAAATACATTAGAACGAGTGTCACCGCATTTAAAGAGACCAATACAAGGTACAGATCTACTATACTAAACCATACTATCCCCATATAAACACACAAAAAACACATGCTGATCTACCTCTGATGTTTAACATCCCCTATTGTCAAAGGCAATGAGCCCATTGTGCCCCCCCGGGGGGAGGGGGCAGAGCAAGGCAATCATTAGGTTAACAGTGCATGTGTACTTTCACAGAACTAACATGGTATTCAATAACTTTTACAGAATACATCAGAACAAAGCATCCAGACTCTCCAGATTCCTTTATCTATAAAGATTAGTACATGTACACAAATGTATTCCCAAATAGTAAACAATTCAACAAATGATCTGGCAAAAAAACCTTAAATGAATAATCACACTGCCCAGACAAATAAGACCTTACTGTTTACAATGCACACAAAGCTTCGTGTCAAACCAAGAGGTTTAATCGTCACATACATGTATGATAATCTACAGAGAAACTCACAACAACGATACTGCAGTACTAGCAATAATCAGCAGTTAGTTTTTTTGGACTCAAGTCTGGTCACTTAATATAAGACGTAAGTCGAGGGAAATATCCAGTCTCTAATGATATCTAGCTACTATTACATGTTTGATTTTTTCAAATGCAGCCAGAAAACAACATTAGATGACAGGGCAACACACATCTAAATGCATTAGATGACACATCCTAACGCATTAGATGACACATCTAAATGCATTTAACAGGGCTTATTACAGTATAAATATGGTATTCTGAAACAATTACGATCAAATGCATATCTGAAAATTCTAATATAAATTTGCTTGGATCATATTCCCACAAAACAAATAAATACAATGCTGTAAGTCTATAAAAAGTTACACGTCCAACTGTCGTATTAATATTTGGCAGATTAAAATTGATTTTACTTCATTGTTCTTCATCTGTTCATATTGACATGTTGTGTCACATGTTTAACCCTTTCACCCCTGTGTATCTTTAGTAGACTCTACCATGTATTGATCTGGATGAGTCCATTATGGTCTACAGTGGTGAAAGGGTTAACTATAAAAACTAACTGGGCGCATATTGTAGTCTCACAGTAATTGGTGAACTCCCAACCTATTGCCAAGCTCAGTATAAGCCAACAATAATACCCTGTAAGTACATCAGGTGGTCTTAAGTATAAACATAGTAAGTCTGTTTCTCAGCTTGACTATGACATGAAAAGTCTTTAAATAATGTTATCTGGTAGCTACGACTTTTTCTGTCGTAGGTGAAGCACTGCATTGGGAGTGAGGCCTGCTGATTCTAATGAGGCGGAGTTGTTGTCGTACACTTTCGTGGGGTACGTTGACACAATCTGGTAATCGGGTAAACCCAACGGTCTGTGGACAAAAAAAATCATAACAGCACTTCAACATATTTAAAATAACACCTGCATGTAGAAAATCAACGATATTAATGTCAACAAACGTACTGTGTTATCTTACATGATTAGTGGGAGATATGTACCGGTAATGTAAACAATACCAAGCCATTTACAAAATTAAACACTTTAAAATGGAATAATCTGATCATAATTTTCCACACAAGTTGACTTGAAATTGATATCAAATGCCTACTATTCCAGCCTCCAAGTCATTCTGATATTTTATTTACAAGCATACATGCTCATATCCTTCACACCATCTTAAATATTTTTACCCTCCACACACAGTATGGGTGGAAACTTTGTTCTCTAGGATTTGTATCATTAAGTGTTATTAATGCTCATATAAGTACCTGTGTATGTCTATGTATTTTCTGAGGTCTCCAATGGTTTCCCAGAACTTCATCTTGAGGATATAGGTTTGATTACCACTGTCAGACTTAACTCTGAGAGTGCTGATGTCTCGAGGCGTGGATGGCCTCCGTGACTCCTCCATCTCCAGTCTGTAATCATGTAATTGTGGTAATCAAATATATATAAGTTGGTAAGAGTTAAGCCCCTTAGTCAGCACTACCAAAGTTCACAGCAGGTATCACTATACCTCATCTTTATAACATCATGTCCTAATAGATGATACTGGTCACATGACGAAGCAATAAAACATCATTTTGCCATCACAAGCTCAAGTTTTCCCAATCATATTTCATTTCTCTAATTCGGAGCATTTTTAGAACAATTGTCAAGGGCCGCCACAATCTTGTTTCAAAATGACGGAAGCAGACGACAATAATGGTGCGTCAACCTGATCATCTCTACCATTGTGTTATTGTTGATATTTTTTCTGGCGTAATAAAATATTTATTACTCTTATTGTAGGGAAACATGATTATTGTTCACCCTCGTGAACCCTCAGAGAATCATGTTTCCCTGCAGTAAGGGTATTAAATGTAAAATACACCATTAACCAAAAAGCACTGTTCCAAAAGGAATGGCATATACACACAGTGCAATGTCTGGAGTTTGAAAACAGCTGTTTACTATAGCCTTACCTCATGAATGTCACAACAAATTGTATTAAGTAATGCCACACACCTACATTTATCTGACATTGCAGACAGAACAAGTTTTGTGAGGACAACTACATTCCTGAATGCTTGTAGCACAAGAGTGGATAAACATCATGTACCATGGAGTATAAAAGTGCTGAATGCCTGAAACTCAACCTTGTTTCAATTGCATTCATGAATGTACTCCGTGGAATATATCCTATTTGTATCTGTTCCAAGTATTAACTCATTCACCCCTGAAGACACATTTGAACCCTTCCAATTCAAAGGTTGGAATAGTTCATTATGAAACTTCAGGGGTCAATGAGTTAAACAAACAGCTCATTTGTTTGTAGTTTTCTGTCTGCAGCTTCATGACTTCCTGAATCATTTCGCACCTACTCCAGTAACTCTTGCAACTGTAAGTCTTAATTAATCAGTAAATCTGACACTAAAAATTTGATAAAAGTTACTAATCCAAGGTGGCAGCTGAACCCATGTCTTAAAGGTGTAACTAACCAACCAGCTCTTAGCATCACGTTGGGTCAATGTGAATCTCTGACTTTACAAGTTGTACCAAATCTTACCTCTTTCTCATGTCCTTGACCACGTCTGTGTCCACTACAGTGACTGGAGGACCCATAGGTTTCCCTCCCTGGAAAAGTGATCGGACAGCATATCAATAAATGTATTACACAGTATAATCTGGTCATTTTCTCTTCATACTCTTTCAACTTACTTTGGCTAAACAAATCTTGATATTAAGGACAATTCTTATTTACGCATCTATCTATCTATTAGAAGTCAACAGACCAGCAGGCCATATAAAATAGCTGCTACAAGGGAGGACTGTATGCATGAAAATATATCACACACAAGTATCAAATTAGCATTTGATGACTGTTTCAGAGTTTTTTAAAAGCTTAAGGGTGGGTGTTCAATCTTTATCATGTTGCAATTTGCTATAAAGTTAAGTAAACATCTAAATTAAAACTATGGCACCTGAACTCATTTTTTGGCATTAAGTGCAATAAAAAGAGTGCATTTAAAAAAAAATCTTGGCAAAGGAACAAGAAAGTATCTTTTTAAGGTTACTACATAAGAAAGCCTTCTCGATTTGTAAGACATGATATTAACAAACTTTTAAGTCACTCTTTTCCAAGCTTTCGGGCTTAGCCCTTCGTCAGGGATTAAGTGTAACATCCATCTTGACAAACATGATGAGTAACTATGACGTTGATAACAAGTTAATAGTTAACTATCAACGTCATAGTTACTCATCATGTTTGTAAATATGGATGTGACATAGAGGTCTGGTGACATTTAATCCCTGATGAAAGGCTAAGCCCGAAAGCTTGATAAGGGTGACTTTTTAGTTTGTTAATATTATTGCGTTCCCTATAGGAACATGTATTTATAGACAATTAGTCGTAAGACATGGGTCAACAATGGAACTATCCGTACCTTCAGGGTGTTATTGACAGACCCTCGGATGTCAATCACCTTGCCGTCCTTGATCACATTCTTTGGAAGCTTACTCAGGAATTGCTCTGTAGACATCTTTTTGCCTGTAATGAAAATGGCAAAATTACAAACATATTACAAATACAAATGTGATATATAGGAGAAGCATTTTAAATAAGGATTGAACAGGATTTTTTTAATTTCATGCTGGTATGAACGCAAAATCGGTTACGTACATATTCCATGAAGCAAACAGTGGAAATGTTATTCTCTCATTTCCCTGTGTGTAAGATAGAGCTGTCATGGGTAAGAAAGGGGTGTAGGAAATTTCTATCTTACACCCCATTTCACGTGACGTGACGTCACAATGGCTCAACTATGACGTGACGTCACAAATTTGGAACTCTCTGATGAGGCAATGCGGAAAAGGTGACGTGATGAAATTAAAACCTTTTATTATATATTTACCGTATATGTTAGAAAGATGTGATTACTTTTTCTGCACAAACATTGTTTGCAAATATGGATTATGCTAAATCTAGCTGGCTAATTCGTTTTCTTCTAAAAAGCTCAGGGGAAAAATTGATATTTTCAAAATGGTGGCCAGTCCAAATGAATTTTCATGGTTTCTCAACTTATTCTGGTGATTGGAATGAGAGAAAAATTCTCTTTTTAATGCCCAAGGGTGTAGGATAGGGAAGTTCCACCCTCAGGATTTTCAAATTTGGCAAAACCTTCGGCAAAGCCTTGGGTTTTACCAAATTTGAAACTCCCTCGGGTGGAATTTCCCTATCCTACACCCCTGGGCATGAAAGAGTCTTATATCATAGACAGTAAAGATATGATCATATTTGAGAAATGTCAGGAGAAGACTTTTGAAGGACACATCTTCTTCTGTTACAACACATTTCATTACCGAGATAAATGAGCTAACAGTTATACAGAGTATGCACAGCAAGGTGACGTAAAATTTTGTCCAGCAGAAAAAGAAGGCTACCAAAGTGGCTACTGGCATTGATGTTACGGAAATATGACGTGATCATGGCATAAGACTTTTTTCAAAATTATTGGTGTTTGGCTACACTTTTGAAATAGAACAAGCTGTGAATATTCAAATCAAAATATACCACTACTGCTTTTAAACTTTTAAACAATGGGGTTACCTGGGTGTTCACTTGTAACCTGCAATTTTTCCGAGGTATCTGAGCGGTACATCTCATGTACAGGATCAAACGCCTGATTGGCCTTGTCTAGATTGGAGGGAACCAATCGAGATGGTTTCGTATCTCCTCCCAATACCTGTCCAGCTCCAGCAAACATTGCTGCTCGCTTGTCCTTGAAATGAACTGACCTCAAATCTTGAATCTGGAAAGATAATTTGTACACAAGTTTAAAAGCAACTTTGACCTTTATCACAATTAATTCTTTAAGATATGTGTTCCGAAGTTTAAACTACCAGGACTAGTAATGAATCATGAAAATATGATTTTGCTGTACAGTATAACATGCATATAACAATTAAACCTCAGGAAACTAAATAAGTAAGTTTTCTATAGTTAATATGTCTATAACAATTAAACCTCAGGGAACTAAATAAGTAAGTTTTCTATAGTTAACATTCCTATAACAAACCCCAGGGAACTAAAGAAATAAGTTTTCTTTACTGTAAAATATGTTGATTAATTAGGTTGCCTTACAAGTGTCAGCTGTAGGGAATTTCCCTTTAGCTCATCGGTAAAGCATCGGACTGGAGAACCACGGGTCGCAGGTTCGAGCCCCAACGACGGCACTATCTTTATCACTATTCCTCATCCTACTACATTACAGTTAAACATATCTATAACAAACCCTAAAGGACCTAATAAAATTATTTCTCTACAGTGAAACATGCTGACAACGAACCCTCGGGAACTAAATGAATAAATTCTCTCCATAGTACTCACAACAAAGGGAACACCATCTGGGTATCTGTTCTGTAGCTCTGATGGGAAGTAGCCATCCATGATGTCATGGACAAATGTCTGTGTCATTGGGTCATTAAATGACCGGAACGGGCCGCTATATAACATCATGCCATTGGAATACAGTGTGAACTTGACTGGATCTTGAGGCTGAAGAATAATGGTGGATACTTTAGTTTTTGTACATAATAAGGCAAGTAATGTGAACTTTATATTTTTTACATCAATTATCAAACAATTTTTTTCAATTTGTATTAGTCACTCTCGTTAGCCCAGATGACACCTACAATGCACCTAACCCTGTCTGTGGTATGTTGTAACTTAAACAAACCTGATCTTGCCAAAACATTCAGTATAACTTACCTTGACGGTGGACCCATCTGTGACTCACCCAGCCAAACATTCAATATAACACCTAGTCTGTGGTGTACCTATCGTGAGTATTGTCCCTTCTATGGTACATATGCATGTATGTTGTACTTAAGACACTCTCAGCCAAACATTCAGTGTTACACCTAGTCTGTGGTGTACCTATCGTGAGTCTTGTCCGTTCTATGGTATGTTGTATATAAGACACTCTCAGCCAAACATTAAGTGTAACACCTACCTTGAGTCTAGCCCCATCTGTGGTATGCTGTATCTTGGACACACCCTCCCCAGCCAACACATTCAGCTCTTTGATGTTCGCTATTATAATATTGAAGTCTATCTCAAACTCTGGCTGGTTGGATACAGAGGTACCTTGAAATAAAGCAAAAAACAACATTGTAACAACGTCTGTCTCATTAAATCTATACACTTTTAAAAAGTACCTGTAAGATCAACAGATATGACACAGAGAGATACCATATTCATTTTGTTCTAAACTTGTCAACCATAGAAAAATGTGAAAGGCTCTGGGATAAAAAGCAACAAGCCAGAGTAAACAAACAAACAAACAAGAATAAACAAACAACCAATACTGATAACACTGATTATAGCGGGGCAATAGACTATATAAAACAGTATTTGACACTCTGTTATTCAAAGAGGTCCTCACATACAAAATTTGTCATCTGTCATTGACATAATGAGATATGCCCTGGAAATGTGACGCATGGAGAATAAAGAACCATAACTCTGAATATAGTCGGGGGAGAGACCCTATCTCTGTGAGCAACACAACACCATCCTCAGGCGGATTGGTTGAGTGGTTAACATTCTGTTTTTCACGCAGGCGGCCGGGGTTTGATCCCCGAAGTAGTCGCATGCACGGAATATCAGAGAAAGTGTTTTTTCTCCTGCCCACACAACTCCAACAACCCAGGTGGAGTATAAATTGGTCTGAGGTGGATGTTGCGGTATCTGTGATGTAGCATTCAAATGAGGTGGCACTATAAAAGATGCCGTTGGAAGCATGGTCCCACTACAAACAGAACACGATATATCTCAAGCACACACGCAGGCATACACACAAAGGGAGATATTAGCCAGGTGGCATAGGACTAGTAGTTAGCGTCTGATAAGGCAGCTCCTGCGAATTCCTCAAAAATTGTAAATCCTAATTGTACTAATTGTATATCTATGTACTGTAAAGCGCTTTAGAGTATCTGATGTTAGTTAGATAGGGCGCTATATCAATTGTTGTATATTATCCTAAAGGGTACTCTAAGGTCTGACAGTATATATAATATATATAAATGGGTGATATGTTTTTAAAAGTCCAATGTCAGTCCCTGAACTTCGACCATCTCTTCATGTTTGTGGATAATGAATTTAGGAACCAATAAACATCTCGTGTAAAAAAAATATTGATTTTGTACTAATTGAAGTATACCTGTCCAAGTTGAATCAACATGTAATTACTTAATTGAGAAATTGCATAAAACTGAACAAGTCTAATTATTTATCATTTAGGAGTTTAAACGTTTTCATTGGCTCAATGTCACAAAATGTTTTCATTGGCTCAATGTCACAAAACGTTTTCATTGGCTCAATGTCACAATCAAAACAAAAATCCATGATCAAATGATTCAAAGAAAAAAAAAATGACTGTTGAAAGTTTACAAACCTGGTCGCCAATTATCACCCTCACTGCTTGTTGTGGAGCCATCCTCATCATTGTAAACATTTGAGTTAGGGTTACTCTTTTCACCGACCCATACCATACCATAGTCAGCCAGGAAACCCTATAACAGTGTCATAAAGAGTATTTATACTCACATAGGATTTTGCTGTATCCTTGCTGTAGTTAACATCACTGGATGTAAGCTTAAAACGTTCTTGTTGTATCTTGATGGTATTTAACCCTTTCATCCCTATGTAACTTTAGTAGACTCTTCCATGTATTGATTTGGATGAGTCCACTATGGTCTACAGTGGTGAAAGGGTTAAAAGCTTAAAAGTATACACACTGTTTATCAATTAACTAGATCAAGTCGTCCATATTTACAATGCATAAAACAACACACTTTTAAATCCATAATAGCTGTCCATGTAAGAACAAAAATATAGTCAGCCAGGAGTCCCTGTAATCACCAAGACTATTTACACTGACATAGTCAGTCAGGAAACCTTGTAACAATGTCATCAAGACTCTTTACACTGACATAGTCAGCCAGGAAACCTTCGTTGCAGGTGTGGCGTACAATAACTTTCTTACATTCAATCTCTCATTGCTTATCTTCCCCCCCCCCCCCCCACCCCCCTCAAAAATAGCTTAATTTGCTATATGTACATTCTCAAATATCTTGATAAAAAGGATTTTATGCCTAAACCCCTTTCTTAATTACTTCTGATTGGAATTAAACACAGAAATTAAAAGCAACCACAACTGTTAAACCAATACCTACAAAACAGGTATAAACATAAACAAAATGGAATGTGACTTTGGGCCTATAAACCTGAACAGGGAGAGGTATATATAAAACACTGACTTATAATGGCCTCTAGGATCTAAAGCATTCTTACATGTATTGAAACTTTTTTTATACACTGGTGAAAAAACTAGTGCTGATGTTTTATTACAAACAAACTTAAATGACCTTCTGTTCATTAACTTAAGAGAAATAAACCTGAAATAATTTGACAATGTGACCTTGATGTTTGACCTCCAACTGTGAATATGTACATTCTCATTCTTGACGACATCCCATTCATCGTGATGAAAATTTAATTGCTTGTCTATCATTTTGTTTAGAACAGCCAAGGTCATATGAAGATGATCAAGTTCAAGGGCATTTAACTGTATTAATCATGCACCAGATACTTGTAAACTGTACAATAAATGATATAAATACCATCTTATTGAAATATAACTGGGATAAAGTATTATGACACCCTGTTCAATTATATTGCAGTCACAAAGGGCGAACTATTGAAAGAAACTGACATGTCAAAATACCTAAATTAAAGCTGACAGTACAAGTTAGATAGCTTTCAATTGAGATTATACCCATTGAGACCCATACTCGTTACCAAGCAAGGACGAAACTAAAATGTCGGCACTTCCTTAGAAACGATAGGCTGAAGAGACGGGGAAGATCTCATAACCAGATTTAAAAAAAAAAAAAAAAAAAATCTCAATTGAAAGCTTTTTAACTTGCACTGTCAGCTTTAACTATAAGGATTTATAAATTGACTTGAATGAAAAAATACAAGTTACTTTCCTGTCAATGTCTCAATTTACCTGCTGGCAGAAATACGAGATACTCAAGTACACAATAAAGTGTGTACGTCACATACAGTTTTTATTTTGTGCAAAATGAGAAATTATCTTAAGTTTTAATTTGTCAGGCTTCTCAGAGTTCTTTTATAAAATTGTATATACCGGTACATAACAGTTGGATGACTAACAGTTTGTCTTATCTCAAAAGTGGCTCTGGTTATGTAAATATATAAATTAAGAAACAAAATCTATTGCTTGAAAGTCTCATAATGGGAAAAATTATTGTTTACACCTCAAATAATAATTAACCCTTTCACCCCTATGTAACTTAAGTAGACTCTACTGTGCATTGATCTGGAGTAGTCCATTATGGTCTGCAGGGCTAGGGGTGAAAGGGTTAATAATGGTAAAAAAGTAGAAGTGGGATTCGTATCCGAGATGTAAAACTTATAGTGCTAACCTCCATCTCATGTACTTTCTGCTGTAGTAATAAGCATTTCTTCTCTGCCTCATTCACCCTAGTGTCATCGTTTTCTCCTGGGAAAGTAAAAACAACAAATATATCATGTTTGAAGACTTGGACAAACAGTTAAAGATAACAAAATTCCACAGGAAAAATTGAGAACTCAGTTGTTCTTTTTGACTCAGTAAAAATTATAGGGTTAACATGGCGAGATGTACTCCTATAATACAAGAGGCCGCTGGTCGGCCTTTTTTCTATCGGATATGATGATCTCGCCGTGTAAACCTCTAACATTGTTGGAGTAGGTGAGGCAGTGCAGTGACAGTGCACTCCCATTCAGCAAGAAGATTGCTGTTGTTCAATTTTCTTCAGGTATTCCAGTTTCCTCAATATTAAGAGAATTTTTTTTTTATTCTTACCATTTCATGAAAAACAATCAGTAAAATTCTATTTTATCTTTCTGAGTGGATTCTTTTAGATCACAAACATCTTAAACAAAATTATTAACTAAATGTTTCAACAGTCATTTTTGCAGGAACAAGGTTGACTTTTCTACAGCTACCATTTCTGTCAGGTTGTTATTAAGTTGATTTTTTTTCTCCAATTTATTTAATTTTTACATGCTTTGAGAGAGCAGGCATGTCCAAATGAGATACAACAACTAATATTCTAATTAATCCATTTGATGAAATTTACTAGGACTCAAATCACATTTAGATAATTGATGTATTATATACATGTATCTAAATATATTTTTTACTTTCCTGTAGATATGTATGATCTTTATGACCGTCCCTTTAGCAGACATTACGTTACCATACCTTGTGATTTTTGGAGTATTTTCAGTTTCTCATCCAACACTTTAATTCTTTTATCCTGAAAATACCAAACAAGTTTAAACATGTGATTTTTTTTTTTTTATAGCATAGGTAATCAGGCAATTTTTAAAGGACACATTTGGGTGCAGATTTAAATCTAAAAAATAATATGATGTTATATGTGCAGAATCATTCCAAATTAATTTGTATTAAATTCATAACATAATTAGTATGCTTGTGTTAAGACAAAAAATCTTTTTTTTTTTTTAATTATCATCATAAGTATTTATGGTGAAATATGTGTTCCTGTAGAGTTACTACATGTAGAGGGATACTCATTCAGGTACAAGTATATCGAAATATGAATGACTTGTTTTATAATCAACTATGTCTGTCTAGAGGGCCTAATAAGGAGATTGGCCTTTATTGCTCGCTAAATTACTTGTTTTCTCCAAAAATAAAGCTAACAATTATGATAATTAATAAATCTGATAAGTTTGAAAATTATTTGTTCAATCATTTTTGTAATTTTTGTTGTTGTTGTTGTTGTAAATAATGTGCATTCCATTCAGATCTACAGAGTACCTGGTGAAGTCAACATTAATCAGCACAATTAAAGGTAATCATTATTAACCCTTTCACCCCTGTGTAACTTTAGTAGACTCTACCATGCATTGATATGGATGAGTCCATTATGGTCTACAGTAGTGACAGGGTAATACCCGTGACTGCTGGTGTAATTGTCTCACCTTTTCTGTGATTTCCTTGGTCTGGTGAGAAACACGTTGCTCCAACAGGGATATTCGGTTCATCATGGATGTCATGAGATCATGATCATTTGGAGCTGAGAAGCAGGAAATCATTTTCATTTCATTAACTGTAAATTATTTGTACATGCCATGATATTTATTATATTGATAATTCATGAGGAAAGTCAATAACCATTTAAAATATTTCCTGAATAGAACATAAATTAAGCTTAAGTTTTTTTTCACAAATTTTTTCCTTGTGAAGTGTTCAGAAGAATAGTTAAAAAAAAAAGTAGGTATCATTATTGTTTACAAATCATGGCCATGTGGGGCACGCATTAGGTTAATTTCCATGTATTATCAGACAACATTCTATAGAACATAACATATTGGTCAGGTTAGCCTGCCTAATCCAACACCCTGCAGTGGCACACTGCAAATTAATCAAATTTGACAGGATCTCCAAAATACACAGGTCTTATTTCAAAGTTCTCATAAGAAATAAGACTGAAACATTATGTTGGACTAAACAAGATGCTGGAATATCCAGAGATTGGGCAGGACTTATTTCCAAAATCATTTTTGTGTGATATGAGTTCTACTGAAATATAACATTACCAGGTATCTACATATCTATAAGTTTGATGTAAATTCAATTTTCAGTAAAACCTAGCAAATACAGGACAATGACATCTACTTCCTCTTCATTTATCAGAACTTCGATTGAAATAGGTGACAGATCATCACAAGTTGGAACCAAACAAAACAAAATTGATACAAATACTTGTAATGTAAATAAATGTACTTGCTAGCAAGGTTATGTAAATATACATTGTAAAGCCAATCTGCTGACATAACTTAACCCTTTCACACCTATGTGAATTTAGTAGACTTTACCATACATTTATCTGGATGAGTCCATTATGGTCCACAGTGGTGAAAGGGTTAAATAACTAAGGTAAATACATGGTAAACATTGACGATGTAATGATGTTGATATCTACTTCACACTATAAATATTACATACACACTGTATAAAGGTACAGAAATAATTACTGCTTTGACAGATAGCTAGCACTCGATCAAAATTGTGATAGATACATTATGTGAGAATGAGTTTATACAGGAGAATTAGAAACTGATGTTGATTATTGTGTAAATATACAAAATAAGTACATGTATACTCAAGAATCATAACAGTTTTATACATGTTTTTTACTGGTATCACATTTTGCCAATCATATAGAACTGAAGTATATCAACAAACACTGTATATATATAAATATCTAAACGTAATTTATGCCACAACAAATATTGGGGTTTCAAACCAGCAAAATGTTCATTAAAAACAGTCTAGTTCAAACACACACAACTCTACTGAACAGCCAATCCATACAGGGTTGAGTAAACTAGGGATATTAGGTTATTAGTAAGGAAAAGCTAGTCAGAGAGGAATATAATAGTTAATGTTAGTCAAAGTTGAACCAAAAAAACTTATCAAAAAATGTGATACATGAACCATAAAATTAATCTTATTTGTCGATGGAAAGTAAGAGTTATGTAGAATCACACAAAATGTATAATTATATACTTGTTTGTCAGGTAGGGAAATCAGATTTTTGGAATAGCCTAACGTCACCAACATTCTTGCTTCTATAAGGGTAATTGTCTCACATCATTCAAGACAGGAGGAGATTGTCTGATCAAGATAAATTCATAGCCCTATGAACACAATTTCTTCTGGTTATTCTTATGAGGAACTTGTAGTGGAAATGTAAATATTAGTTACAGCATACAGAACATATACATAATTTTATGTAGTTTGTTATATACTAATGTCATATAAAATATACATTTTGTTAGATATATGATTTGTTATATAATTATAGAATACGAAATCAAAGCTTGCAATAGTAGTAGATGTATAACTATATTCAGGTACATATTAGGAATTCAAGCTTTACATGGAAGCTGCAAAACTACATGTATCTATATGATTTAATATTACATGTATTCAATTGAAAACGATTGTTTAAATGAAAAACACTGTTTTAACTGGTAGTCTACTCCTAACTTACTGTATATTATACATCATCTTTAACTCATTCACCCCTGAAGACACATTTGAGCTCTTCCATTTCAAGGGTTGGAATAGTTCATTATGAAAATTTCAGGGGTGAATGAGTTAAAATCCACGGGTTCCTTTCCTGATATGTATCTTTCCTGCAGCCTTGGAATCATCCTCGATATCCAGGGGTTACGCTCACTTTTGCTCTCTACACCACTGGAATGTCATAGCAAAATTGAAGGCACAAAGATAACTGTTTGATTGGTCTCAGGTAAAAAAACCTGACCAATCGCTAAGCTGATACCTGTCCTTTGAAGATTACAAAGGAGAGACGCCCGACTTCAAAGCCTGTCAATTTTCTTTATTCTCGATATTCTTTTGAGGTACATCAAAGGATTGCACTAGTCTTCTTGTCTCATCAACAAGGTGGCGCACACTGAGCCTTCAATTTTTGCTATGACATATTCTAGAGGTGAGGAGAGGAAAGTGATCGTAACCCCTGGATATCGAGGATGCCTTGAAATATGTCATGACAAAATTGAAAGCTCTTTATATGACACCTTGTCTTTAATGAGGATCAAAGGAAACACACAGCAGTGACTACCATTGAAGTTAACAGTCTCTGGAGTTGGGTGTTAGCTCCTCTGAAATCTTGAAAGAACAGGTATCAGCTAGCCTAGCAATTGGTCAGGTTTTAATACCTTAAACCAATCAAATAGGTTACTCACAGTGAGCCTTTGATTTTGTCACGACATATTACAATACAGAGAAGATAGATGTATCAAGTGATTTTGAAGATGAGTAAATATTTTCTGTCATTATTGCTGATAAATAATCAATAAAATAATTTTGAAGATGAGTTTATATAAATATTTTCAATCATTATTGCTGATAAATAATCAATAAAATAATTTTGAAGATGAGTATATTTAAATATTTTCTATCATTATTGATGATAAATAATCAATAAAATAATCTTGAAGATGAGTATATTTAAATATTTTCTATCAATATTGCTGATAAATAAACAATAAAATAATTTTGAAGATGAGTAAATATTTTCTGTCATTATTGATGATAAATAATCAATATAATAATTTTGAAGATGAGTAAATATTTTCTATCATTATTTCTGATAAATAATCAATATAATAATTTTGAAGATGAGTAAATATTTTCTGTCATTATTGATGATAAATAATCAATATAATAATTTTGAAGATGAGTAAATATTTTCTATCATTATTGCTGATAAATAATCAATAAAATAATTTTGAAGATATAGGTATTGCAGTAGTTGACTACTTTATATCATATTTTCATAGATGAATTCATGGACACATGTTCCACAACCTGCTCTGGGAAAGATTCATGTTATAACATACATGTAAATACGAAACACACTATCTTCCATATTTTAGATAATAAATTGCCATTAGTTTTAAGTTAGATACAGGAGAGAGCTTTGCTACTTTTAAAGGAAAATATATCAGGTAAAAAACAGTACGATATTATTACTGGAAATAAACACCTTTTGTATACATATATGCATAGTGTATATATATACCACAAGGATATATAGAACTTGACCTCTCCTTAATCAGTGTCTATAGGCCCCTGGGCTTATCAGAAGTCATAGAGTTCTGTACATTGTTGAAAAATGCTGTTATAGAAAAACATTTTTGACATAAAGATGTTTTGATTTTTTCAAAAAATGTATAATTCCATTGGCTACACCTTGACACTCTTTATCTGTAAATGGTTCTGTTAAAGATTGCCGACTTCCGACTGATCCTCAACAATATTTGAATTTTTTTTCAGTGATTGAAAACATTAAGTTTGTATTTCCAGTATTTTCATTTCCTGAACATACAACTATACTTAAAAATATTGGAAACAAGCAAAAATCTATCTCGAAATTTGAACCTCATGCACAAATTTTGTCAGTAGTAAAAGTTAAACACACAATCATGTAATAAAGTTCCACTGCAATCCACACTTTCTATACTACTTCGGGCACGTCATCTCCCTCACGAATGGGTTAAGATTTTAATTGCACAGAGCCTCGAACCAGATGACAAGGTGTACAAACACAGGTCACTTACGAGATCTGCCATAATCCTTTGACACCCCTAAAATGTTTGGATTCAGTTATCAGATTATTGTGGAATAATATTTGTCTATACCCTTTCAATGACAAGTTTTTATTCTCGCAAACTGGTTACAGTGTAGAGAATTATATACATATATATTATGGTCACCACTGTAGACCTTAATGGACTCATCCATATCATTCAATGCATGGTAGAGTCTACTAAAGTTACATAGGGGTAAAAGGGTTAATTGATAAATCTTTTTTTTTTTTTTAAAGCAGAATGCTGATTATATTTAATAGAGGTAAAATTCTATTGAAATAGACAGGTTAATGAAAATGGGGAAAAACTGTAAAGAGAGAGTGTAAACCGCAAGCCAAAGGAGTACATGATGAAGTCAAGAGCTGGCGCTGTACGTCGTTAGCAGACGGCCATTGATGCTTACCTGTGAGAAAGGTGTTATTGATGTGGGAACCATCAAACCCAGTACTCGAAGCGGCACTAGAGGGCCGATCAAATACTGGGGTGCTATTGTCATGGTAACGACCTAGAACGTACATCACCAATCAAGTTGAAAACATGGATTGTCATGTTTAATATGACCAATTGCTTGACTGATATATATATGTAGTAATTAGTTTATATACATTTAACTTGCTGTTGTCAATTTTCAGGCTAACACTATCTGAATGAAAAGTACAGTTGTTTGATTCTACCACACACACGTTAAATAATAAAACCTAGAGAAACGATTGACGGCCATAATTAAGGTACAATGTTTCCGAAAGGCAGTAAATCTAGATCACTCCCTGGGGTAGTCTGAAATAAATGACTATCTCCTTTTAAATGTTTTTTGGGTTTTTTTGATGGGGGAGAGATATCTTCGCCCCATCAAAAAACTTTTAAAAGAAGATAGCTACTAAATGGACTATATAATCCCTTGGGGTGAACTCAGTATTTGTAGAATCAACAATAAATCCAAGGGCTTTCTTAGCTTACACATCATCATACATAAATTTTAGGATATCTAATGTCAATTATATCTTGTAGATTTTTGCAGATGTTTGATCATTTCTATTAAAATATACAATCTTCAGTACCTTATTCATTTAAGCATTGAACTGCTTTCAGTTGGCATGCATAGGCAATATAAATGCCAACTGGACAAAGGGAAATTCAATGAAGCGCGAATAGAACAGCCATCGCCCAGGGACTAGTATCCAATGAAACAATTATGATGTCATAATAATGATGACGTCAACAATCGGTCCATGGCATTCATAGCTTATATGAATGCCAACTGAATTTGGTAGGGTTATATAGTGGCAATGCCATTCGATGGTATATAAGAATGAAAACCGGATTATAATGACAATACATACCAATAGTCATTGCCAACATGCTTTCATTTGGCATCTTGCATTCAGGGAATATTTCTTAGATGTATATCAAATGTATATATCTATACTGGTATATGTATACCTGTACATGTACACAAAGCTTATAAGATTGGCTGTGTAAATATATTATCTTACCTAAAGACCCAGGATTGGATGTTCTGGGACTATTATGGGCTAGATGGGGGTGACGTAGGTTATCCAGTTTCGGTAAACCTCCTCCGAATGGGTCCCGCGTTTTAATGCGTTGACTGGCCATATTGCTTGTAATCTCCCCCAGAAGTTTGCTTTCATCTTCTGTCAGGAAAAAACATATCAGGCGATATATTCTCATAGTAATTATTTATCATGGCACTCACTGACCCACAGTAAAAGTCCAACCTTAACAAAACTAGTGAGTGTACGCTAGTCTATACTGCAATCAAATCTCACTATTACACTTATAATAAATAAAATGTTCACAGTTAAAAGTTAAAAGTGTAGACCTTCTTATTAATGCTGGAACCATGGAAATACTGTATGATACATAAAACACTGTATTAAATTGTACATGTATCTAAATAATAACTTTCATGGGAATTTAACATAAAAGGTACACATATTTAGGCACGGTAGTCTAGTGGTAGGACGCCAGGCTCGTGACGGAAGAGTTGCGGGTTCGAGTCACAGCACGGCACTGTATTGTATCTTTAAGCAAGAAACTTTACTCTGCTTGTTCCAGTCTACTCAGCTGTAAATGAGTATGTGGTTTGGCAGTGCTAGAATTGTCGAATGCTAGCGGTGAGCGCCGAAATAGCAGCACTGGCTGTATGCTCCCCAGGCAGTTGAGAAAGATATTGGCTAGTTGCAAAGGCCCTATAACCACAGATAATAATTTGTGAACCACTTTGAGACGACCTACGAACTAGGTTGTGATAAAGCGGTATATAAGAACCTCAAATTATTATTATTATTATTATCATTATTTAGTAATAATGAACAATAAGACTCATCAGTTTGGAAACATACCCGAGTTTGATTATGTAGGTTGTTTGCGTATAAAGTAAAACTGTGATACATATATAAACATGTATAGTAATAGTCAAGCTTTAATAACTGTTGTTAAGTATGAAATATTCATGCACTATAACATATGGGGATGGGTCCTCAGGATTGAGCAATTACGATTGTGTGTGAATTAAGTAATTGTAATTTTCTATAATCAGCATCCTACCTTTCAAAACCCCTTTCCTCCCCTTCCATATTTTTTTTCTGGAGGAGGAAGACAAAAATCAATGGGGGGGGGGGGGGTAAGGTATGTTAAAAGTACTTAAATTAAGTAGTACAGTAAGTTAACAATAACTACGGCAACTTGAGAGAAACCCAAGTGCTGGATGCCCACTGCCACTTTGAGAAGTATCCCACAGTGCACCCACCCTGAATTCACATGTACACCTAACTATGGCTTTATAAATATTAATAAAAATAAGAATATTTTTCATCATAAAAATGATTCAATATTCAAAGTCAGAGAGAATGAAAATAAACTGCTGGAAAAAAAAACAATCGTACCCACACAGATTTCAAAAGAGTAATACTTTTAGTTTATTTGAATTGAACTGTTAAAAAAAGGTATTCTGTACTCATACACATATGTATAACCTGAATAAGGTTTTCTATCCTGGGCCATTTAACCTCTATATGTTTGTAAACTATATTTACGAATATATAACAATGAATACTGTAACTTCTCTAGGTCTAGTCACCAAAACCCAGCCACATATTAATAATAATAATCTGAGGTTTTTATATACCGCTTTAACACAACCTAGTTTGTAGGTCGTCTCAAAGCGGTTCACAAATTATTATCCGTGGTTATAGGGCTTTTGCAACCAGCCAATACCTTTCTCAACTCCCTGGGGAGCATACAGCCGGAGCTGCCATTTTGGCGCTAACAGCTATCATTCTACAATTCTATAGCTCTACCCAACCACGTACTCATTTACAGCTGAGTAGACTGGAACAAGCGGTAAAGTATCTTGCTCAAAGATACAACACAGTGCCGTGCCGTGTTGTGCTTGAACCCGCAACCCTTCGGTCACGAACCCGGTGTCCTACCACTAGACTACCGTGCTATTCTGGAATAACATAAAGCTGCATTTGAAAAAAAACCACCACAACTACAGTATTTAACCATTTCTGTTCTTGCACTTGTATGTATACATATATCTATATGTACCTGTATTGATGACAGCTAATCACCTGCTCCTTACTGTACTAATGTAAAAGATGTGGATTAATTAGGTTGCCTTACAAGCGTCAGCTGTAGGGAATTTCCCTTTAGCTTAGCGGTAGAGCATCGGGCTGGAGAGTCGAGGGTCGCGGGTTCGAGACCCAGCGACGGCACTATCTTTATCACTATTCCTCGTCCTACTACACTAAGGGTTCACAGGTATTGTGTCTAAAAAATGTATACACACAGTGACTCAGGCATTGTACAAAAGAGTTACTTCACCTCTAATAAACACCTGTACAAAATATGATATTTGGTTTAAAAGAGTCATGTCAGTTTTCAGAAATATTTAACCCTTACACCACTGTAGACCATAATGGACTCATCCATAGCAATGCATGGTAGAGTCCACTAAAGTTACAAAGGGGAGAAAGGGCTAAGCATACCTAGTTAGATGTGGACTTGGTTGATTACCCCCTACAGGTGACAAGATAAATAGGTTGGTAAAATAGGCATGACTTTTAAAGGATTCAGGTCCTAAGGGTCGGAGATTCAAATCTCACACTTTTTACCTATTCTATATACAGTACCATATGTATTTAAGTAAATTTGTTCATTTGTTTGTTTGTCTATCCCTAGAAAACTTGTCAGACCGTTACTTTTGAACAGCTGAACATCATTTGATGGAACTTCAAATGTTCATGTGCGCTATAGCAAAATGGTATGTCATGTACTTTACCTGAGTCCATAACTAGTCTATTCGGGAAAGGTGGAGTTGATCAGAGTTAGGGTAAGGTGTCTTGCTAAAGGACACATTCACTTCCCATTATTTGGATTCTGTGATTTTGCAGTCAGTGGACAATTGCAATTCAAACTAAGCTATGCAGCCCAAACTTATTTGCAGTTTCACATCCAAATTTATTTTAAGTCCCCACCTCACAGTAAGGCATAAACATCTTAAAAGTCTCCATGTCACAGTAAGGCATGAACATCTAAAACATCTCCATGTCACAGTAAGACATATATACATCTTAAAATATTTCTCCTTGTCAGAGTTAAAGACATATACATAACTTAACAGTCTCCATAACACAGTAAGACATATACATGACTTAAAAGTCTCCATGTCACAGTTAGACATAAACATCTTAAAAGTCTCCATGTCACAGTAAGATATAAACATTTTAAAAGTCTCCATGTCACAGTAAGACATAAACATCTTAAAAGTCTCCATGTCACAGTAAGACATAAACATTTTAAAAGTCTCCATGTCACAGTAAGACATATACATCTTACAATTCTCCATGTCACCGTAAGACATATACATCTTTACATGTACAATATCTATATGTTACAGCATGCCTTATTTACTAGACTTGATTCATTATGAAATAACATGTCAGAACTATTCAATAAAAAATACGACATAACCAATCTAATTTTATGCTGCTACCTAAATCTCATATAAATCTGGAAGTATTAAAAGTGAAACCCTCCTTTTATGTATCTAAGTTATATGAGATAAGCTTATCATAAATTTTATACAAACAACTCAATACAGAACGTTCCCCAGCTTGTAGCTTTAGATAGTCTGTACATTTTTTATATTACACTGTACATGTATACGTATATATATACTTGTCAATTACAAGGAGTCCTATAAAATGACATTTTGGCAATATAACTGATATACAGTGTACTGAGTCATAAAACTGTTGGTGTTTTTTCTACATTGTCTGTTACATGTATTTGAAGTTTAAAGATCACTGTAATGTACATGTACATTGCACCTCGATGGTATTTTTGTTAAGGTGATATCTAACAATACAGAACCTATCTAGATCTTTCAGGCTGTAGTGGATTTTAGGAGTTGGAGTTAAATGTATATGTATATTATTAAAAATACATTTTAGAATATTATTTTTTAAAACAGCTCCATACACTTGTAACCAATTCAATACACTTCAGTGTATACTTATAATTCACTTCTGTTTATCAAAAAGGGAATTTGAAGATGACAAGGGGGATTTGTACCATTTGAATGATGCCTTGTTACTTTAAGCCCCGGCGGAGTTTCCTCTGGCCCTGACACCAGACTTAGACATTTTGACTTTTGACAGATAGATGTCTGGGGGCCTGGTGTCAGGGCCAGAGGAAACTCGGGCTATGTTTATAATACTTTAAGCAAGATATCAAACTCAGAGGAAACTCAGTGTCCATGATACCAATGTATTTGTACTTACTGAACAGGTCTGAAGCAGACCTTGACCAAGGGTAATCCCAGTCCATATCTCGAGAATTCCAAATTGTAAACTATATATATATATATATGTATATTGCAGCTTTTAGTGAAACTTAATCACATGATATATAACGTGTAAAAATCACAGCACTTTATCCTGCAGCCATCATTAGTCCAGACATAAATCTTTGTACCACACAATACACCTAGTGTTTATATTTGTTCCAATAAGTAACATATTCTGAACGTGTGTTTAGAGCTGGACTATGTGCACCATGAATAACAGGCAAGAACTTGTGTGGAGACAGATCAGAGTATTCGACCGCCATATAGAGCCACTCAAGTGGAGCAAATCTTTCCCGCCTGACAGGAGGTGATATTTAAATGTGGGATTAAGTTTAAATCTTAACTTGAGGGTGTTAACTTTAATGGGTCGAGGATAGACAGTTTAATTAACAGGAAAACACATAATTAAACAAATTAAACTATTAAACTTCACACAAAGGATAAAATATTTTTCTGTATGATTATAGCTGTAATTTTGGTATCAGTTTCCTCTCTTTGTATATGTAACATGTATTGAGACAAATTTGACAGTCGGTATTGATGTAAGGTGTTGAGATGATAGCTAGACCACCAATGTCCACTGACATTTAAATACCTACATGTGTAAGCCAAGTACATAATTCATGATATATACAGCTTTATAAGCGCTTCTAAATTCATCTTGGCTGATATGTATATACAAACCCCAGTCATGTGTGTTAGGCACTTTAAATTTCAAGTATACATGTGTAAATCATGTACTTCCATTATGTACCCCAGTTCACCCTTCATTATGTA